CAGAGGTTTCCAAACTCTTTTGTTTCATAGACCACTTTCAAAATTTTGCTGGATCCGATTTATAAATCTCGAAAAAAAGTGAAGATTAGATCTATCTATCTATGGAAACTTGCGTTGTGGCTGAGTTTTAACGACGAATTAACAGTTTTCGAAAAAAAAAAGTTAGAATTGATTGCTTGATAGGGTTAATTATTTGATAATAAAGTCGACTAAACAAATTTTCAATTAAATTTTAATTGATTGTGCTGTGAGTGGATGTCAAAAAAGCAAAGTTGGCCAAACGAAAAAGTGACTCCATCCAACTTTACTTTTTTTAAATCTACAGTGACTCAGCACAAGAACCAATCAATTCTCACAAATTTTATTTAGAGAACGTCCCATTCGGAGTGGTAAAAAGAAATATAGTATATTTCCTTGTGTTATAGGTATTTATTTAAATTTAAATATATAAATTATTACACTATTAATTACTATTGTTATAACCGTCGTAATATAATTAAAATTAAACACTTATAACGTAATGTAATTTCTACAATGGTAATTACAAAAAAAAAATAATTTAAATGAGAGGGATGTACTTGATGGATTGACAGCAAATTATCAATATTTGGTTTGAGTTTTGTAAGGAATAACCGTAAATCTCCCCTTTCTGTGCTATTCAATCTGCTCCTTTTTTTTTGTTAATAAGTTTGTAACAGCACTAAAACTTTTTTCGACGAGATATGACGAAGGAAACTCTATCAGAAGCTTTTGCACAATTCCCCACAGTCCAGGATATTTTTTGGGTATTTCTGCCTGCAGCCAAAATTTTTAATACCCTCTTTTAAATGTCACTTTCAGCTCCTCATTAGTGCTAAGCTCGAGTAGCTCCTCTTGTAATATCACATTCTCCACTTCCGTTTCATCAAATGGATTTATGATCAATGGTGGTAGTTCAATCGACAGAATATCTTCAAATCTGAATTTAAAATCATCATGCAGGTCAATCAAATGTTAAACATATGTCTGACTATCTTCATCAAGACATTCTACCTGCGACAAGTTTGAAAACTGTGAAAATTCGCGTTGACCATTATGTTCCTTCATAAATTTCAATTTACCAAGAAAAGCTGAAATTACACTCTTTGTTTTTATTAAATTAAGGCTGTCCCCTTGTAATTTTGTAAGTTGAGGTCAATACATTTTTTGAACAAATCTGTCAAATTCGCGATGTCTGCTTTAAAATTTATCAAGTTTTTTTTAAATCAGGATCTTTACTTTCCAAAAACTCTAAAGCTGAGTCAAAAAGTAAATAAAATCTTGATAAACATGCACCTTTCGACAACCAGCGTACTTTTTGGTATGTAACAGCAATCGTTGGAAGTTTTCATCATTTTTATCGCACAATTGCGCAAATAAATGCGTATTCAATGCATTGCTTCTTATTTTGTTAACTGCATTAATCATAAATTGAAGCGATTGGTGCAATCTATCACTTAAATTTTTCGCTACTAAATGTTGTCGGTGGATAAAACAGTGAATCGCAATTACCTCTGGTATAATTCTTTTAAAATGGCTTTATAACCCACGATATCGCCCAACCATGGCAGGAGCTCCATCTATTGCCACCGAAATAACGTTTGTGGATGGAATCGATTTTTCTTTAAAAAAATAACTCAAAACATTAAATATTGATTATCTTTAGTGTCCGTTTTCAAAGTTTTCGCGAATAGTAGCTCTTCATGAATTTCTTCGCTCATAACAAATCGAACATATGCCAATAATAATGCTTCATTGCCAGGTAAAGTTGACTCGTCCAATTGAATAGAAAAATTAGTTGTTCGTAGATAATCACACAAGAAACTTTCAACATCAGAGCTCATTTCATCAATACGTCTTTGTACAGTGTTGTTACTCAAAGGAATTCTTTTGAGTGTGTCAAATGAAGATTTGTGCAGAACAGTTTTTAGAACCTCTTCAACAGCAGGTAAAATTAATTGTTCTCCAATGGTGTGCGGTTTTCCAGATTTTACGATAAGTAATGAGATATTGTAAGATGCCCGCAAGCCATCATCGGTGGGTCTCTTTTCATATTCTTTCTTTAATGTTTGGAAATATTTCAAATCTTTACCTATTTTATCAGAATGGCACCTTCTTAGATGATCTTCCAGCTTTGATGGTTTCATAGAGTCTTTGCTCAAAACTTTGTTGCATAAATGGCATGTGGGCAATCGTTTGTCTGTCTTTGATGGAAGAAAACCAAATTTTAAATATTCAACACTGTACTGACGACACTTCTTCTTAGATTCGGCAATGTTCTGTATCAATTACCTACCTGTAAATGTGTAAGTGAATAAATAAAAAAAACGTTGTTTTAGTAATCTTAAGGCGATTCGAACTTAACAGAATATGACTATTTTAACATAATTTGATTAATCAATTATTATAAATATTATGAAATAAACAAAGTTCCGTCTGCAAACTGTTTCTAATTATTAGAAGCAATAAATCGCTAAGATCCATAATAGAGTTTTATGAAAATGGCTGAACTTTTTTTAATGAACTTCATTTATTATATTTTCATATATTTCTGTAGATTCTATAGAAACTTTTAAACAATATTTTGATACCAAAACTCCGCAATAATTAAATGAATTACAGCTCATCAAATTTCTAGAGGCTTTCGACGGCTAGACAGAGAAAGCACTACTCACAGGCATCCCGACGGATTTACGCAATGAAAGTACACTCTGCGCATCAAGTATTTCACTATTTCATTCAGACGTAAATGTCAGATGTAAATTTCGCTAAAACATTTCTTTTATTTTCGTTTGTGTTTTTTGCTCATTACAGTTTAATAGAACCTAAGTATGGAGTTTAATAGCAAATTAAGAGGCCGCGTGATTAACAGTCAATCTCGCGAAATAATAGCCAATGTTATAGAGTTTATGAGAAGAGAAGGAAACTTTAATTCACCTTCAATACCATTTAAAAATGTAAATGATCGTGTTGCTGCAGCCACAGGAGTATCTAAAAACACTGTCGTCCGCATTTCTGGAGAGAAAAAAAGAATCGATAACCGTGAGATATCGGAATTTTCATCACCAAGAAAAACCATTAAATAACCAAAAACAGTTAATGATATAGATGAAGCTGCACAAGAATCAAATTTTATTTTTTTATTATTAGATAGCTATTTTTGTTTCTGAGTTGTGTTCATTTACAGGCTCAATTTTTTTCCGTTTCTCCTTTTTGATTTTATATGGGGTTTCAAGTTGTTTTTGACTTATTTCGACGTAAATCACAACAACACACTTTTTTAATAAAGCAAACAAGTGTTAAGAGGTATATGTACGTGTAAACTACAATTACAAAAAATTGATATGAAACCCATGAAACCACCAACAAAAATGTAAAGCTAGCTTCCGTACTAGAACATGGTGTCATTCGTCGAGATAATTTATCGTTTTGTTTAATAGATCAAGAAATGTAAATACTCCCCTGTTATTTTTTATAAAATTATAAGAAAAATAAATTTTTTTCTAAATAGTATAGTTTATTATTTTGTAGAAAAACAAAATTTCGAAAATTTTAGTAATGTTTCAGAAACAACCGTTATTAATAATAGGTACCATTTTCCTTAATAAGGTAGAAATAAAATATAAACTATTTCCACGATTTACAAAGGCCTACAAAAAAATTATAGGTATTTTCCGCTATCCTATAAAATTTATATTTTCTGACTCAATTTCAAAAGGTTGAAGGAATTCCAAAACACCTTTTATGGCATAATAATTATTTTCAATTCTACATACTATCTTTAGCTGCTTTTAAAAACGTTCTAAGAAAGTCCAATCAGACCAATTTAATCCCTAAACTATTCCACACTTTTAAAATTTAATTACCTAAAAATATTGAAAACTATTTAAAATAACTTATTTAGCAGACTGTACAATAGCTATCTTAGTCACACGTAGCGCGTTCTCTGTCTGGGCGTCGAACACCTCTAGAAATTTGATGAACTGTAGATAGCTAATAAAAATAAAGTAGGGACGATAAGTTCAATCTTTCTCGGCTTAAAACTATATGCATATAACAAATAGGCAGGTAGGTACTTACTTTTCCGACACTGGCAATCAGTAATATCGATTCACTTTACTTTTCTTTTCGAAAGTCTGGAAACAAATTGATTTCACAATAACAGGGCCCTTGGTCGAGAGAGGATTGATCAAGATAGATCGAAGGAAAAGCGATTTTTTTTTCAATGTTGTCTTTTGTTTATACATTATATGTATATATCGATTTTTAACAAAGTTATATTCCTTGAAAAAATAGGATTGGAAGGCATTGAGACATTTCCTTAGTGCATTGGTGATAGAAGGGGGCACAATAGATCTCTTAGGTCGCAGTGTATTAACACCCCATTCTCAACATAACATAACAAAGTTATATAATTAAAATAGTACGACCTGCACTTTTCCACAAATAAACCTATCATTCTTGACTCTTAATAACTTATTCGTAGCCTCACGTTATCCAATAAAAAGTAAACTACTAAAAGGCAAGTCGATTATTAAAAAATATGTAGACAATAATGGCTAGTATTTTTAACAATTTTCTTTATATCATAATATATAAATTATAAATAAATGTTGTGGTTGGATTTACATTGCAATTTGTCAATATTACGAATAAAAAATATATATAATTAAAATATTTATATTTATTACTAAGATACCGCCCAAAATTTTTATACAATAGTGTAAACAATTCTGTTACAAATCGAATTGCGCTAGGAACATAAAACACTTGTTATGTATTTTAATAGCCGCATTAGCTTTGCTCTATGTTTTGGACTTTCATCATCGTTCTAAAATTAAAACAAATTAGTAAGAAAGAGTATGAAAAGTTTGTTAAAATATACATAAAATAAAAGCTTTCAGCTTTTTTTTTAAAGACACGAATGGCCTAATATTTTCAAAATCCTACCGACTGCGCGGAATGTAGTGTACGGAATAAACATGTTTAACCTAAAATCACATAACACAGCAATATCTCCAGGAAAATATGACATCTCTAAAAGTTTAGCCTTAAACAATCATTTCTGGTATGTTAATTTTGATGGTCTGTGTCTGTCTCTCGACGCGGCGCGTTGCCAGTTGCCAGTTACCATCTACCATCTCGGGCCGGTGATGTCGTCTTTCCATTAGCCAGGCACGGCAGAGCCGTTCAACTAACTTTTTAATGCCCCATCCACTTAATTTCCAGCATATCGTGACTTTTGCTTCTCGCCCGAAAGAGGCGAATGGGTCTTTTAAACGCGCCAAATTTTCATTAAACGAATTGGCGAAAAGGTGCTACTCCTGCCATTGTTTTAATTCCTGAGAGTGACGAGCTAAACTTAACTTACGACATGCCAGATAAAGTTACTTGAGTTTTTTTGTCTTCTTGCGATGGATTTTGCATTTTATGTTTTTGGATAGCGGAAAAGAGTGTCAGGATTTATTGGTGTTCCCTTTAATATTAGGGTGGTAGAAGTGCGAACGTTAAACTTGTACAAAATTATAGAGATGGCGCCACTACAATGTTATAAATTAAGAATCCTTTTTAAAATATAGTTTTCTACAAATTGATATGCAAAAATAAATTGTAACCTAGCGAAAATCAGAACCAAAATTTGAAAAGTGATTTATTACTCTTAAAATGTTTGTATGACTCTCAACTAAGAGTATTGTCTTTACAAGTCTTTTTTATTCGGTTTTCGAGAAAATATATCAAAATAGTCTAATTTATGACGAAAGGGGTAAATCTACTGAATAAAAAATGCTTGCAAGGACAAATACTCTTAGTTCAGAGTCATACAAACCTTTTGAGAGTAACTAAACCACTTTTCCATTTTTGGTTCCGATTTGCGCAAGGTTTTACATTTTTTTTTTCTAATGAACCCTTTCCCTGGCAAAAAATACTTGAAATATCATCTTAGATTCAGAAAAACCTCATTTAAGGTATATCCCGAATTTCGTTGAAGGTGATAATCTGATCACGTGGCCGGAATTCCTACACCGATAGTAGCAAAACTGGGCGACAGAAAATGCTTGCAAAGGAATTTTTTATTGTTATTGACGTCTAGAAGCATATATTTTAGTAAAAGCAAAAAAGATAAAAATTAGTCGGTAATCAACTTAACTTGGAATTTCATAGGTCACACGACCGCTCATATCACCGGGACATAGTACATGTTCTTCACCCCCTACCTCTGTATCCAATACAAGTAGCAAGCAAAAAAGACGACGTGCCACTTTTTGCAGTCGGAAAAGGGACTAGTATTGTTCATCTATTATATGCTGAAACCGTAGATTAAAGAGACCGGAGATGTAACACACACTGGTGTTTAACCTGCACGAATATTCCCAATTTCTAATGAAAGGTTAACGGAGTGGGGGAACTGGTAGGAGACCCGAACTCTGTGACAGGGAAGGAATTTGTTTATTATCATCTTAATGAACTATTAGATTTTACTAAAAAGGTGTTTAATGGAATGTTATATTATGAAATAAAATTAACGTTATTTTTTAATAAACAGATGCACCGACATTTTATTTGACAAAAGTTCTTTTATAGAATATTTCATTAGCGTTTATTTACTACGAACTACAATAAAATGTTGAAATAAAATATTGTCAATCGAGCGAGGAATGGTACTCATTGTCTACGAGTATTATAATAGCAGCATGTGCACAGGCGAAAACTGCAAGTCAAACCTTTGTGAGTTGAACATTATATTTTTTCTACCGCTATTACATAATATTGAAAATTAGTCAAAATTAGAAAATTCTATTTTGTTAGTAACCTCGGAAAAAGATTCTTTCTTAATTAATATAAAGGACGTGTGACATAAATCTCAAGAAATGCGTATTTCTGAAACCGGATAACATTTTAAAATGTAAACCTTATAAGTCATTTGGTTGCTAGGGGCAGGCGATTATCGAAATAAATCATCAATCATTTCAAATAATCGATTATTTTTAAACCATCTATTTTTTGTATTTTCTTTCAAATTGATTATTCGATTATCTTTGAAAAATCGAAAATAATCGATTAATTAAAAAACCGATTAACCAATAAATCGGTGTTTCCAAAAAATAATAAATGAATTTTCGAATATTTTAAATAATAGATTATTTTCTAATAAACTATTTTTTTTTTCGTATTTCCATTGAATCAGATTATTCGATAATCTTTGAAAAATCGGATATAATCAATAAATCGAAAATAATCAATAAGAAAATAATCAATAAGAAAATCGATTTCCCTAAAAAAAAATAAACCAATTTATAGATTATTTTCAAATAATCTTTTTTTATTTCTCCTTTAAAATTGATTACCTATTTGACTATCTTTGAAAAATCAAAAATAATCGATTAATTAAAAGCTGATTAACCGATAAATCGATAATTCTAAAAAAAATCGAAATATCGATTATATAAACTAAGCAATTATATTCGATCAATCGATTATTTTCATATTTTCGTATTTACTTTAAAACAAATTATTTGAATACTTTTGAAAAATCCAAAATAAGTGAATAACTGAAAATATTCGGTTAATCGAAAATAATCGATTAATTAAAAAAGCCGATAAATCGATTTTTCTAAAAAATCGATTATTTTCAATCAATCGATTATTTTCAATCAATCGATTATTTTGAATAAATCTGCTTTCTTTTTGTATTTTCTTTAAAATCTTTGAAAAATCGAAAATAATCGATTAATTAAAAAACCGATTATCCACAAAATAATAAACGAATTATCGAATATTTTAAATAATAGATGATTTTATATAATCTTTTTTTTTTCGTATTTCAATTGAAACGGATTATTCAATAATCTTCGAAAAATCGGATATAATCGAATAATTAAAAAACCGATTAATCGATAAATCAATTTTTCAAAAAAAGACCGAATTATCGAATATTTTAAATAATCAATTATTTTTGGTCAATCGATTATTTTGAAATATTCTATTTTTTCCTATTTTCTTTCAAATCGATTATTCGATTATCTTTGAAATATCTAAAATAATCGATTATTCGAAAATAATTGCTAAATCGAAAATATTCGATTAATCGAAAATAATCAATTAATTAAGAAGCCGATTCTACGATAAATCGATTTTCCAAAAATAATCGATTATATTCGATCAATCAATTATTTTCGTATAATCTATTTTTTTCGTATTTCCTTTAAAACAAATTATTCGAATTATCGATTAAAATATTCGGTTAATCGAAAATAATCGATTAATTAAAAAAGTCGAATAAACGATAAATCGATTATTTTGAATTAATCTACTTGTATTTCCCTTAAAATCGATTATTCCATTATCTTAAAAAATAATTTATTAAAAATGTTCGATTAATTGAAAATAATCGATTAATTATAACGAATAAATCGATTTGATTTTTTGATCCCGTTATTTTTGCAACCACATTTAATTGTATAATAAATATCGCTAGAATTTTGATTTTTTTTTAGTAGGCGAAAATCTCTTGCAACTTTAGTATTTTTTTGCTTATACTAGATCATATTGTGCGTTTTACTTTATTTTAAGACTTAAGATTCAAATGTCACTTCCGATTTAACCGCAAATAAGATGAACCTTGAAATTTTAAGTAGGTCATTCTGTATTTCATCTAATATTCTTATAAAAATAAAATTTCTCTATCACTATGCTTTTTTTACTTCTTATTTATCTACCAAAAAGGGCTAAAAAAACATCTTTAGTAAATATTCTAATACTACTACTTTTTAAAAATAAAATTTCATTAGCAACAATGTCTATTTACTTCTTATTTAAATTAAATGTTCAAAATTTTGCCCTTTTGTAAATTTATGTATTATGAAATCTGTTTTCTAAAATATGTATTTTATTCCTAATATTTATTGAAACCCCTTAATGCAGATCTGAAGTATTCAGCCCAAATGACCATGGCGGCTTTATGTCAAAACGTTAATAAATATTTACCACTGAAAACGAATATATTTCTTATTTTTCATAACATTGGCACTTATATTATTTGTATATACAATTTTTCACGATACATCGTGGCATTTTCAACTTAAGGTTGGAATAGACACATGCGCTATGTGCAATGTTACATCTCCGGTCTCTTTAATCTAACGCTGAAACCAAACTTAAAAAAAACGATTTTTTAATGAATTTGTTGAAAACGGTATTTCTGTTTTGTTTGAAGGAGTTTTCACCCGAGAATACCGATCAAGGAGAAGCGACAGCTTGGTGTTTTCAGTGTACCGTTTTGTAACGCGCATGTGCGAAACTAAGTTGTGTATCACTCAAAATTATATTATCTGTCAAAGTCAGTTCAAGTTGTGTTTAGTACGTGAGCAATGTTAAGTGATATTTTTTGGTGTTTGTTTTGTGTAGTAATAAGATGAAGATTTTTACACACTTAGGTGTTCTAATACAGATATAAAATGTGCCAAAAAAGTTATTAGGAAACTAAGAATTTTACCACATGCATAAATATTAAGTATAATGATTTAATCATTTTTGACATTTTATTTTTCATATGTAGGTATTGTATTTTGTAAAATATATGTTTTTCTTCTTATAAATAAATTTAATAAACAATGAACTGCAGATTTTGTTTATTTTATTTTGAAATTATATTTAAAAAAATATAATAAATTCGCGTGTTTCAATTAGGATTGGTCAAAGTGGGCGAAATCCCTTTATTATGGCTAAATTGCAAGTTACAATTATGTCAATATAAAGATGTTTTGCCCATTCATATTTACATTTATTGAATGAATCATACTGGAGTTGATTTTGGAAATATTGTTGCATACTTAAATAAGTACTATACACATAGTCCAATGGACGTCCACTTTAGATCTATTTGAGGGTCAAGACGTCCATATCCGGGCATCCAGTGTACGTCCGTTTATGCTAATTAAATTCACAGCTGAATATCGATACCCAGAGAACGTCTCTTTTTGGACTTAATTTTAAGTTTAGTAGTATTTTGACGTCCATCTTAGGTCATTATTTATTAAGCCTACCAGATAATACCCATCTATATATACT